TGACTCTCTGCTTGTTCTGTTTAAAGATGCTCTTGCAAAGATTGTCTTTCCAGCATTGTACTATTTCTTCATCTTTAATTAAATTTTTCATGATACTCCTTTCCACACTTATTGGAAAGACATCATCTTGGTGATACGAAAACAGGAAGCACAACTTCCTCCACAAAACTTTCTAGAATTTGACTAGACAGTTTCTGTCAGTACAGGAGACAGAACTGTCTGCTTCATTGGTCTGTATATGAAATTTCCTCTTAATTAAAACCTTTTGAAATGCTGTATGAGTAGGATGAGTCACATAAAGCTTTCTGTTTAGTGGGCAGATACAAGCATCATATTGAAAAGAAGGGGCAAAAGACACGCTGCTGGTAAGAGATGCAGGATATTAAGTGCCATGCCTATGAAGGAAGTTAATGTTCAGCACTGTTGTGCTATGTCATGACAGAAAACTCTGTATGGATGGGTTGAAAATGTCTCCCATAGTCCTGCCAGACCCAGCCTTGTGACTTGGCGCCTCTTGGGTTGTATGTCTATTTCTGCCCAAAGGTCTCTGTGCCTAGTGAAAGGTGACCAGGTATGCCCCAGGCAACGTGTGAAGCTCAGAGAAGTATCTCAGCTGGCAGAAAAAGAGATCTTCTCAACCAGCTGCCAGGAGGCTCAGTAAGGACAATGTGCCTTCTCTAACTAGTGGGACTATAATGCTGGTGCCTTTCTGGCTGTTTGCTTTTGAGCCTTTACCAGTGCTTCTGTCCTGGTGGTACATTCCCAACATTTCATCCAGATGTTACCATATCTGAACTGAAGCCTCACAGGCTGATTTATAAATTGTAGTTTTGTAAAGATGTGGTTGGGCTGCAGCAGATGAAGACAGCTGCTAATGAAAGCTATTGCTGTGCCAGCATGTACCTGAAGACAAATGCTAGGCCCAACACGCATAAGGCATCTGGTTTTATTCCAGTGGCATACGGCAGCTTCACACCCTTAACAAGAAGTCACCCTCACAGCAGCATCAGCCAAGGGCAAGGTCAATCAGCAAAATGTGGAGGGAATTACATGTTTTAATGTCTTCTTTGGCCAAGAATGTGCTTTGCAATCACAAGGAGTACTCATGACGCTTGGATAATTTTGCAGAGTGCACGTATACAGCTGCTCAGTTGTCATTAAGTCTCCCACGCTCATACATGACTGTGCTGTAAAAAGGTGAGACAGGCGGTGAATTACAGGCGATGATTGCAGGGTGACTAGATAGGCCTCCACAAGACATATGCCTATAACTTGCAATTCACAGGGCTGCTCAGTACATGAGCCAGCCTGCTATACTATATCACCCTTCCAATAAACGGAAGCCAAAATATAAAGTTGCTATATACTTGCTTAGGCACATGAAACTGGTGGGTGTAATGATCCAGACACATAGCCTGCTGACGCACTGTTACAGTCACCAAATGATGAATAATGAAATGTGTGGGGGTGTACCTTAGCAATCTTAAATATGCCAATTAAAAAAACCAACTCTGGATAAACAAGTGTGGGAAATTACTTCTGTAATTTCTGTTTTGGCTGGCTGGAAAAAAAAGGCCTTTTTCACAGTTACAGGTGAGGGAAGGCTCTTGGCACCTATGGGCACCATTAACACTTCTCAGGGACAACAGAAATTCATCTCCCCTTGCTAGGAATAAAGTCACCTTGAGAGATAACCATCAGATACTTAAAGAACTGAATGAGTAACACTTTCTCAGCATCTGGTGCCTGCAAGTTAGTTTTTCAGGTTTGTATGAGGAAACCTTGGTGCACTAGATGGCCTTTATGCAAAAAGAATCGCTTTCTTTAAATGAGCAGCGTGTTAAGGGCAGATGGCAGCATCCCCCTGTGGACCTGTGCTGGGCTGTGGAGCTCCAGCTCTGGGGGCTCTTGGCTGCAGAGGAGGTAGCCCCCACTGCCATGCTGCTCACCCGGTCTGGGGTCCTTATCAGCGACGTGCCCCAAGGGGTGGTGGAGGCTGGAGCTATTGCAGGGGTGAAGCTGCGGAGGCCAGTTGCGGGCTGCACCATTTGTTTTAGTTTTGGAGTCAACTGCGAGGAGCGAAAGGTCTAATGGCTCTGGGGCCTGTGAAGCATTTGATAAATATTTCTCTTTGAGGGTCTTCCTCCTGCTCAAACGTGGCTGCATATAGAGAAGGCACATGCATGAATTTGTGGCAACAGATGTCTATTTTGCTGGGACGTGCCATGTTTGACAGGGTGGCCTATAAAGAGTTCGCATGAGGCTGGAGAGCAAGCATCACTGTTTGCTATAAACAAACCTTACCAAAGTGCCTGTAATTGCAGTGTTAGAAGGTTGGCCAGGCCTACATGGTAGCAGAAGAGGAAAATAATACTTTCTTTTATCTGTTCTTGCAAACAGCTGGAGACAGATAAAAGCGGAGACAGTTTTAACCTAAGCAAAGATTGTGACTGTGTCCTTTCCTTTGTTCCTCAGTGCTTTCTGTTTTCTTCCTTCTTAGTTATATTTTTATTTGCAAACGAGACTATGCATGGGACGGCTTCTGAATGCTTTTTCTTTTTTCCTCTTTTCTTTTTTTCTTTAACTTAAGGAGATACCTGTTTCTCCTCAAACTGAACTCCTGTGTCTGCCTCTGCTTCAGAGGTATGCAAGGACAACAGACTCTGTGCTCTGTTCCGCCTACTCATGGCAACTTCCAGAGCCCTGACACAAAGACCAGACAAATATCTTCCACAACTAACCATCACTGAGGATATGTTTTGCATAGTATGGTAGATGTAAAACAGGCCTGAAGTAATTGTTTTCAGATTTTCCAGTAACACAGAATGCAATGGTATAAGATATAGAGAGAAAAGGAACTGTTATCTTAAAGAGAAACAAAAACCTTCTGTCACTTCTTCCAAGTACACAGAAAATTTTCAAATCCTAGCATTCAGAGTGAGTAGTGATTTACACTGACATTAATTAGAATCACTTACCAAGCTAAGTTCCCCATGCAGTGCTTTGAAACTAGAAACTGTACCTTGCTGTTTCTAATTAGATGCCTTAGACCGATGTTTTGGTACAGTAGGAAAATGTTGCTTTGCTAGACTTTTCAATTGCACTAATAATTCAAGTCATACCAACCCAATAATGTATAGCTCCATCAGGGTGACTCTTGCAGGTACATAGGCTCATCTACATAAGAAGTTATTCCAGATCAGCTTTTCCTGATTAAATCTGCTGTGGATGCTATTGCAACAGAAATAGCTCTTCTGTTGTAAAACCTGTATTAGACC